CACAGCCTGAGAAACAGAAGTTTGGTATAGCCTGGATCCAGCCTTTGATAGAGTAAATTAGAGTAATCCACCTCAAAAGTGATCATGCCCGGGTCATTGTGACCATTGCTTATCTGGGGAGAGGGGGTGACTCCTGCTCAGCTGGAGGTGATAAAAGGCCTTCCTCCAGGCTTACTACAGATATCCTCAGGGCTTAACTTGATGTACTTTGCTAGATGCTGTATGGAGGATAAGGCCAGTTGTTCAGCTAGTTCTTCAAAGGATTTCTACTCCTTAATCAGCACTAACTCAGCCATACTGGCTCCTCTTGAGATCTGCCTTGGAGGCATGCTGATGCCTGGAGAGACATCACTGGTCATGAGCAGAATTTTAGTGTTTGCTGGCAGTAGCCATAGGTCCTGCTGAACTCCATTATTGAAAAGCCTGAAGCAATCCTGGTTTTGCTTCCCCTGGGAACACTCTTTTGATCTTTGTGCACAAGGACAGTATCTGCCTACATGACAGTTACACTGTCAAAATCTGGGTTATGTTCCCAGCCAAGCTGTTGGTCATCTGCAGGAGCTGAGCAGATAGTCACAGCCAGCCACAAATTGGTGTTCCCCCAAGGAAAGGAGGGGAATTAAGGCTATTAAGGCCTGACTCACAGTTGTGGCTCCTCCAGGGGACGAGCATCTCTCTTGCTACCACACAGACTGTGACAAACCTCTAGTAAATCCAGTATTGCAGGCTGTAAGATAAATTTGCATGTTGTCAAGGGTGTGTGGTCTCTCTCACAACTCCTGCAAAGCATTTTCTTCCTTAAGTGCTTGTCACTCACCATTCATCTTTCAGTCCTCTGATAGCTGTTCTCATTGGTCAGCTTGTGGAGAGCCAGAGGGAGTCTCATGTCTATCCAAACCATTGCTGTACTGCTACTGTTGCAATGTGTATTGTGTTCATTGCTATCAGTCTCTACTACAGCATGTTGTTTTTCAGCCTGTATTTACTGTACAGCCATTTCCTGTGCTCAGAGAGAAACCATTTTCTGTCCTTAATCAAAGCCCTAGGAATGGAAACAGCCAGCTCTGACATGTACCGCTTCTCCTTTCCCCATAGAAGGCTTGGGAGTGCAGAGCCAGAGATGGCTTACCTCATTTCCAAGCAGTAACAGCTTTATTAGTCAGCCTTAGCAGTTGGACGAAGAAGAGGGTGTACCCACAGGCTTAATCATAGAAGTTAAGCTATTTCTGTAACAAAATTGGGTTGCTAAAAGTTTAGGCAAAAAAGAATTCGTATCCTCATGCAACAAACCAACATAATAAGGGGATTTTCGATTAAATAAATCAAATATAAATACATTTAACAACCAATCAGTTTATTTTGAGGAAATACTGTCTATTCTTGCTGAGAGCACAGGATTCATTCAACCTCCTCTAGGTGCTAACAATGAACTGAAGATAAGAAACAAATCTGATCATTTTAACACAGTGTATTGATTTGTGCAGTTCCAGTATGCTTGGAAAAGGAGCATTGTTTTATTCTGCACACACAGATGCTTCCTACAGCAGGCAGCAGAAACATCCTAAGTGCGTAGTGTGATTTTCCAACAGGAAAATCTCAGGGGTTCTAAAAACAGGCTTTTGCATTTTGCAGACATGGAAAAAATAAGAAGGGCCAATTTTCACCTTAAAAGTAATGGGAGGAGAAGAGGAGGAAATCAGACAGAATGTTTTCCATTTGATGCTATAGTCAGGTGCAAATATATACTTTTAGTAGTATTTTTCCAGTAAAATTCCACTAAAACTATGTGGAATCTCTCTGTATGGAAGATAGTGCATGCTCTGTAAGAATCATTGTGGAAAACAACTGGAATGACAGATGTGTACATCTGACAAACAAATTGTTATGTTTTTGACATTCTTCCTGTAGTTCCACTTGCTTTATTTTGTGGAGAAGATGAGTTAAACTCTTCATAATAGCTAACACAGCATTGCTCTTCCCAGTCAACGGAAGCTAAAGAATCTGCTGTAAGGATAATAAAGACATAGAAAAGATAATGCAGATACTCTAACATCTGTTAAAAGCATATATTTTAGGCATCTTGAATGGCTCCGAGTGTGTTCAGTAGGACATTGTGTCAACCCACAGCATGGTCTGGCTGGACTCCTGTGGAAATTATTTAAGGCATGGTTTTTTTTTTCCCCCAGCTGATTCCTTTGTAAAATACTCTCTAGTTAGAAATCTTTGATAAATATTAAAGCATAAACCCTAAGTTGCGACAGCCTTTTGTATTTGCTCAATTCTTAAGACAGAGACAGGCATAAATGGGCACTTTCACCATTATAGCTCAAGAGATGGGTTGTCTTTCTCTAGTATGATTGAATGAATGCATCTTTTGCATGTGTTAGTGGATTACACTATCTTAAAAAGAAAGAAGTGTACAAATGTATTGGTTATTTTTATCCCACTCAGAGTTTGATTGCTCCTAATAACACTCAGATTGTAGAGGTTTATGGAGTGATGATCAAAGTGCATTGGCACTGTGGTTGTTTTCTAAACCAGAAAAAGGAAGATGGAAAAAACCCCATGTGGGACTGAGAAAGATTTTGTAAAATGTAGAAGAGGATGACAACTGTTCTTGACAGGGTTGTTCTCGACAAGGTTGTTCTCTGCTCAGAGTTTTTGTGTAAGTGTGCATTTATGCTTGGGCAGGTAGGACATGGCAAACCCACAAAAACCATAGCAAGATTCTTTGGGAGCAAAACCCTTTAAACTTTCGGAAGCTGATGATATTGTACTGAACATCATTTTTTGTCTGAGTAAACTTTCTGCACTGAATAAGAATTTTTTCTTTCTTGACTGACAATATCATTTTGAAGTGGACTCTTCAGTGATTTTTGAAGTACTTCTCAAAAGACTGATAAGGTAGAATAATTAATTAGTCACAGTGGCTCTTGACATTTCAAGATAAGTCTGGCCTGCTTAACAAGGATGACATGATGGAGGGACTATAGACTTGATTAAGGAAAGACTGAGGTCTATCAGGGATGAATAGGTCATTTTGGTTATTATATGAATGTTGCTTTACAGAAGTTCTGTATGAGTAGGATGGTATATCAGAGTAATACATTCTCCCAGAAATCTGGGGTAGGGGAAGTGGGAAAGCAAAGAAAGATGTCAGCTGCATAAAATGAATGACTTGTCTTGAAGAACTGTTGAATGACCAAGTATATTAGCTGAATGATATAAGTTCAATTGCAGCTACTTTAAATGGATGCTCAGTATAAAGCAGACTTCCTTCTGTAAGGGAAAGGAAAATACAGACAAAGCCCTAATTAACTGACCTTTTAGGGTAATTTCCTCCCTCTCTACTTCCCTGTGAAGTCACGGAACTGGTCTTTGAAAAGCACCTGCAAAATGCCATGGTTCTACTCAGGCTTTGCAAATACTCCTGTTGCCCTCATGCAGTTCACCCTGACCTAATGAGCCAAACAGAACCCCCTATCTCTGCACCAGCAGTGCTGCTCCCTCAGCCTGCCCGGGGATGGACAGTGTGCTCTGCCATGAGATAAAAGAGCCTGAAGCATTCATATCTTTTCATGGGGCCTCTCCATGAGGCTGAAGGAAAGCTGTACACCTGCTTCAAGACTCTGTGACCCACTTCTTCTCCTAGCCACCATCTTTCTTCCCTACACAGAGGCAGGCATCGCCTATTTTATCTGGTAAAGCAGACTACTGCATAGACAAATTCCCTCCCTAAAGTAATTTCTTTTCAAGAAAATTAAGGTAAATCAGCAGAGTCTATGTAGAAGTGTTGAATTAAACCGTGTTATACTGCCACGGAAGCTTCCATCCAGGTGGGACATTACTAGATTGCAGCAGCTTTCTCCTACTACATGGAAGGATAATTTACTGTGATTGAAGAACAGTAAGGTGTGAATGAGAGTCCTTATACAGGGTGAAGGGTTAATGAATTTAATTTATACTCTGCATTGATATACTCCTGCAGTCTTGGTGTGGCAAATCCACACTAAATGACACCAGGAAGTCAGGTGGAGTTTTTTGATTATTGGTTTTGGTAGTGAGGCATTTTTAAAAGATAAATAAGAATCCCTGTGTCACCTGCTGAATTTGGGTGCCTTTGTATGGAACCCAAAACTGAGCTGCATCTCAAGTTTTCACCTTTAGTCACTTTTCCCACTTCAAATCATTTGGCAGGAGTCTGGGAGTAAGTCTCTTCTGAGCTGGCACAGAAACTTTTTTGACATGAAAACACACATTTCAAATGCAAGAACTTTTTGTGACCTTCTCATCTGAGTCATTTTACTGTTCTACCCAGCTGCTGTTACCTATCATGTCATAGATTGTCTCTTCAGTTGAGTCCAGTCCCCAGCAGACTAATGGAGTTATGGCAGCATTCAGATCGCTGGCATGAAATTGCACCCTTTTTGCATGAGTAATTATTCTCTATTTTGGTGACTTGAGCCACCAATCCAGAGGTTTCTCATCTTGGTTATTTTTTTACCCTTTTGTTTTGTTTTGTTTTATTTCCTATATCCCAGACCTGTAAGACTAGAAATGAAATCTACATAGTCCACATAAGGTAGCTGAGTAAAGAGCCTGCTGGCAGAGGGATCAGTGTTGCTGCACAAGGTATCCAGCTTTTCTGGGAAGCATTTAGGTATTCACAGATTCAAAATCCCTGAAGAAAACCCAGTGGCACAGTAAGTGTCTCAGGATGCCCTTTAGTGCCTGCTTTATTTGATAAAAGGGTTTTTTTACATGGTTTAATATCTGTAATTAGTCTGCACTGTTGCTTAAGTGCTGCTTTAATTTGCATTACAATTGTTCTTTGAGATTGGTAACTGAATATATTTTCTTCAAGTATTACTACGCTTTATGCTTTATGTCCACATTTCATGGGTCTTGGTGCAGAAATATTTTTTCTTTACTGGGCTCAGCAGGTATTCCTGTGACTAGTCTGACCAGCTATCTTCCTTCTCTTTCTTTTGTGTTCACAGATCAAATTTATCTCACAGAAACAAATGCTGCCAAGTGATTGGTATTAATAATGCATTGAAAGCTGCAGACACATCTGATATTTTCTTCTACTCTTGAGGAAAAGGATTATTGTAAACCTTTGAATGTTCCTTTCGTTCCTCCAGTCAGAGTAATCTTGAGGGCTCTTGAGGTACTCAAGGAAGGTTTACTGGAATGTAAGTGGGCTTTTCTGAAAGAAATAAACATCCTACTTTTTCACTTGGTTCTAAAGGAGTGTTTCCTGCTGTGGAGGAATGAAAGGTCTGGAATTACATGCTACCTAATGAATTAAAACTGGATACCACTTTCAGTTAAATTACACATCATTGTGCAGGATTGTTTCCTCTTTTGTCTTGTATTGTCCTTTTTTCCCTGGCTTATGCTTAAAGGAGTCAAAATATGGAGGTTTTTCATCTCCCCCTCAGAGTATAGGTCAGTGAGGCTCTGAACATACTTGGCTGCTCTCTAAAATTTATTCCCCCTTTGAACACCTCTATCATTGAGGCAACCAAATCTAAGCTCATCTACTGCAGTCCCAGACTCTTCGGCACTGAGGTATTGCTATCTGGGACCGGGAGTGGGGTGTCTGTACTCCCTGTCGCTGCAGGGGGTGTTGGTGAGTAGTGGTGCATGATCAGCTTGGAGCTGCACAAAGACAGCAAGTAGAACATAGCATGCATGGAGATTTGAAATCCTATCCATCTCTGTTGGACCCACCATTACTCGATGGCCTAGCAGCTTTTCAAAGTTGTGTTGGTTTTTTTGTTTGTTTGTTTGGTGTTTGTTTTTGTTTTTGTTTTTGTTTTTTAACACGAGTGGCACAGTTAGTTTCAACAGGAAATGCTCAGGATATCTTCACCCTCACTCATACTAGACCAAACCTGTTGGCGCTCTCTCCTGGCAGCTGGAAGATGTGGCCGTCAACGGGTGTCAAGAAGAATTGTGCTATTTGCCCCGTGGAAATATTGTGGTAAGAGGCAATGCCTCCCCAAATTGCATAATATCTTTTTTCCATTCTGCCTGGCAGCACATCTATTATTAAGCCACCATGGTCACTCTAAAGGAGTCACTCTGAAAGAAACTGAGTTTCAACATGTGTTTCTTAATATGCATTTTTTTCAAACAAGATCTTACTGTGTTTTCTGGTTTAGTTTCTGTCTCTTCTTTAGTAATTTTCTATTCATTCCCTGTCACTGAATTGATTGTTGGGATGAAAAGTAGTATGACAGAATCATGGATTCAACCAAGTTGAAAAAGACCTCTGAGATCTTTGAGTCCAACTTCTGACCTAGCACCAGCTGCACATGTTCCTTGTTCAGCCTATGAGGCCAATGTTAGACCAGGTTCTGGTCTATGAGAACATGAGAACAAATGCACTTACATCCTGGGTTTGCATTTCTTTTTTCTATTTGCAATCCGTTGCACAGTACTCACTTCCAAACCTGTATTTGTGTAGAGCATTTTGTAATTTCTGACACAAGAAGAAAGATGGGTTTTGGCACAAGGGTTTGGTATGTCTTCTGATCTAAGACACCAGGGTAGCCAGGAAGCTGGAGATGCTGGTGAATATTTGTGTGGAGTTTATCCCTTTGACCAGACCTTTGCTTACTTAATGAGATTGTTTCTCTAGCAAGACAAGTCTGCTTCACTTCTCAGGAAACTATTACAACGTCCAAGTTTAGACTGATATGGATTAAGTATCAATCCAATGGATGTCACTTATGCTCCTGTAAATTAATAGAAAGGGTAGGCTTATTAAATCATCTTCAGGAAGGCAAAATAAAATGAAAATGGTCAGTTTCTTTTTTACACTAACAGTGTCAAGAGGATGGATTATACAAATCAGTGCAAAAAACTTGGATAATAAGATGGCATTAGATTTTTCTATCTGATGCCCAATACTATCTCTGCTCAAAGATGCTCTAAGGCATTCTGGAGGAGATTCCCACAAAATCTGGATCTGATAAGCAAGCTCTTGACTATAAAATATATTAGGACTGATTGTTTTTAATAACACTCCTTTAGAAAAATTTGGTAACATCAACAGCAACAAAAGCATTAGCAAGAGAAAAACAGGACCTTGAAAATGGCCCAGGGTGAAAACTTAAGCTAAAGAAGGTACAGTGTGTTGTGCTTACACTGTGTGGTGTTGCTTTTCTCTTTACACCAGAGGCAAGGTGTAAGTACAGTCCCTCATTAAAACAGTGGAACTGTAATATTCAAATGCATAGCTAGGGGAAGCTGAGACAGCCTAGCACTGGACAGCATAGGATGTGATTTTTATAGTTTGAAGCCACTCTGGGAGACATTGTGCTATTAAGGTTATGTTACCTGTGAGCAGCTTGGCAGAGATGATTAACATTGATTCAGCTGCTTATCATTCAATTTCTCTGTGTTCTGAACTGTAAAAGTGGTGTTATAAGAGATAGTTAAATTTCTGACATAATTTAGAAGGTTGAACCAGAGTTAGCAAAAAGCACACTGTACTCCTTGTGGGCATATTTTTCGAGAGAGATCAATTAAGCCAAATAACTCATTGATTCTTGTAAAGAAAAGGTGAGATTAATTCAATCAAATGGAACAAGAACTGAGAAATGCATCACTGGCAACTTCCATTGTGCAAGCACGTTGTCAGATTCAGTGGATGATTGCTACAAAACATGCTGAATCTGGTTCTCTCTGGTAACAGGTATTCAAAAATATTGACAGAGTAGGCAATGATGAAAAATATCACTCAAAACCCAACTTTTTTTTTTTTTGTTCAATTGTGCAGCAAATGCATAGAAGGACCTGCTCTATTTCAGCTACGCTAGTTGATCTCTTCATCACAGAATCCCCCAAGTACACCAAAGTGACAACTTATAATTCTGTATACTGGTATAGCTGGAAAAAATAAGATATCCCTGGACCTAATTCCCACTGTCTTTGCAGGATTCTTGAATATTTCCAAACAGTGTAAGGTCACCTTACTATTCATGAAGAATTAATCCTGGAATACCTGAGAAAACATGAAGTGTTTTCCTTAAAAAAATTGTGTTAAGTATTGTTTCTATACATCTTAAATAAACTGAGCAATAGCTCTATACAACAGGCTGATAAAATAAATAGTTCTTGCAAGTTAAAAAGAGAAAATCTGAGTTGGACTAGAGGAATTTTCTGTAAGATAATGTGGATTATTTAATGTAATATAGACAAAATGAAACAAATTTCTATCTATCTCAAAGCTGTATAGCAAACTGCTCATAATATAGGATGCCATGACTGAGTTTTCTGCCTGTATTGTTATTTTGCACATTCTTACATGCAAATACTGTCAACACATCAACATTATGATTACAATTACATAAACAGAGAGGATTTTGGATATCTCCGTACATGAGGTTATATGCAAAGTCATATGAAAATGCTTTTTGACAACTTTGCAAACAAATTTAATGCTCACGTTAAGAAGAATGCATGCACCTTTGCAAGTCTGTAAACAAAATTCTACGATTTAGAATAACTATAAATAAGCTACAGAACCTCCATACCTTATACTGACATTCTGAATATGCTATGTGTGCATAAGAGCACTCTGATAACTTTCCTTCAAATCTTCCAATAGTTATTTGTCGCAGCCTCAAGTTTGATATGCTCCCAGATATTGAAAAGAGGATGAGCAACCCATGTAAATGCTTTTGTGTTTCTTCACATTTGTTTTTTTGTACCTACTTGCTCATGCAGATACAAGCTGGACTTCCTTCTCAGAAGGTTTAATAAGTGCATGCCAAGCTGTGGAACTTCAACAGAGTTACATAGAGTCTCCTACATGCACATGGTAATAGAAGTCTGAACTTTTGTGAGCAGTTCTAAGTAGAACAACACAATAGAGAGATTCTCAGCATTTACTTCTGGCTACCTAAAAGCGTTGCTCTTGTGTTGTGCATTATAGTAAATATCTAATACAGAGCTATAAATATAATTCTAATTAAGGTAAAGACATTCAGCAGTATGATGTGCTAGATAAGGCCACACAAAAGGAAACAAAAGGATCCTGATGATTTTCTGGAAAAAACCAGCATCTGGGGAGACATTCCTAGAAACTGATAACAGCATTAAAGGAAGAAAGGAGTGATATGGAGATAACACGACCTTTTCCCACCCCTACTCTCCCCCAACATCCTGGCAACTTGGGAAGTGGATCCTTGGGTCAATGACATCCATCTCTCATCCCCAAAATTAGTTTCTTGGCTATAGCCACTCAATTGCCTAAAGAAAAAGGTATAAAAAGAGATTGGACATAAGCAAAAATCGGGGAGAAGTTCCATCAACACTGCAGAGGTAACCAATGGGCTAGGGCTGCCTTTTCTCCCTCCAGCTTCTTGGGATGCTTTGGGGTGAGCAATTGCTTTATACACGTACACTAATTTTACTCTTGCTCCATAGTACTTTAAAATTTTTACTAATTCTTTGTTAGTTCTTTTGCTTTAGGGTGGGTGCTCAAGTTCTTGCTTTACCTATTTGTTGTAAGTTGTTTTGCTTATTTGTAAGTTGCCTTGGGGCAGGTGCTCAAGTTTTTGCTTTATTTATTCTTTGTTAGTTCTTTTGCTTTAGAGTTTTTGCTTAGGTTTTGTAGTATTAATATTCTTTGTAAGCTGATTTTCTTTAGCATGTTTGCCTATGCTTTGTATTATCATTATTATTACTACATGGTTTGAGTGCTTTTTTTGCAGTTAGGCCCTATTCCAGACACAGTGAACCCCGTAAATTGTCACAAATTTGCATTAATAAACATGTTATTTCATGAACTGTTAGGGTGAGTCTGTTTTTAGGTGCTGACAGTTTCAATGATGGTGAAATAACTCCTAGGAAAAACCTGCTGAGGGTTTTTTCTACAGCTATTCGGTGTAGTCCTTATATAAAAGTGTATTAGGTGTCCTATCTGTCTTGGTGAATCTGTTAAGCGAAGACGCTAACAGATTGAGTTAGACATTAAAAGGCTTTGGTCTCCGATAGCCTCTCTGATAGCCAAAAAAAAAAAAAAAATTAATACAGATTGGACAGAAAATTCATCTTTTCTGCCCCTTTTCAGTTGACAGTTGGTCAGCAAATACTCAGTTCCCCATTCAAGTTCCCAGTTATTCTCTGCACCTTAAGCACTGTATTTCTGACACTTTTTAATTTTCCTATGTTGATATTTTGACAGCATAACCCAGATAAGTTTATGATATTGAGTATGTCTATTGAGAACTTCTCTGGGATACTTATCCTGAAATAACCACCTGAGTCAATGTTACAAGTCAGGTGCCCAGAATGACTTTTGCAGCTCCTTACACTAATGTATTGGAGTGGTTCACATCTACTGTATCCACGTGCATCTTATCCATAAAACATAGTTAAAATGATGTCACTTCATTTATCTAAACTTTAAATTAGAGTTGAACATTGCAGAGGGAGCGGGCACCAACTATGAAATAGCTCATAGTGGAGAAAAATGCTCTAATGCAGTAAAAACTGACAAATACAGAGAAGATTTGGAAATTTTAATATATTAGGCACCCTACAAAAAGCCCCAGCTTTTTAATATTTTGCTGTGTTGTTTTCCTGCTCCTCACTCTGCTTCCTCTGTCCCCTTTGACTTCAACTTTAGGTGAAGGCTAGTGAGGTGCGTCATCCACCTCTGGTGAGCTCTAACTTGTCTTTAATGGGAGCTAGTGACTAACAGGATTAAACTTGACATAACCCCAGCATCCTCTAATGACAGTGGTAGAATGTCATTCCTGATGATGGCTCTTCAGTAGCCAGAGAGAAATGATCGAGTACTGTTAGCCTATTCCTTGTGACTAAATGGCTTGTAAGTGTAACGACCACCACTGAAATTAACCCACAGGCAGAATTCAAGGCTTGAGAGTAGAGAACACAAATGCTGCTTTGATAGCTGCTCATTTAGGTTAAAAGAATGAAATGTGCAGTGAGGAGAATATAGAAGATCT